TGAAAGCAAAAGAACCGATCGATATTGAACGCTTTCCAAATCGTCTTAAGATTGCGCAGTTCAAAGCAAGATACACGCTCACACCGCGCAAGTTCATTGGCACCTGGAAGTGTGTGCCGAACTTCAAGCAAACTGAACTAGAAACCGCGCTGATTAGTAGTTTCGACTCTGGAGATAATAATTTGCTAGTGCAAATCGATCAAAATATTTATGCTATATTCAAAAAGAATAACTTCTTTTATCTGTTCGATCCCTACCGTCATCGCATTGAGGGCCTTCCCGTGGAGGAAGATAAAAAGGAAGTGGAAGTGAAAAGGAATGCAACTTTGAGAATGTTTCGCTCTTTAGAGATGCTTTTGAAGGTGTTTACGCAGATGCTTTTGGAGACGAATCGCACCACACAGTTTGCAGTGCACACACTCAAAATCAATAATATAGAATTTGCGGCGAATGAAGCGATTGGAGCGCCTGACGAACCAATATTGAATGAAGACATCGACGTGAAGTCGTTGAATGAGACACTTTGCTTCGAAGAAGACGAAACTAAGTGTAAACTCGATTTGGGTGGTGACGATGAGGATGAAGAAGATATCACATCTGGAATTGTGCAAATGGAAATGCCCGAGAGAAGTGAAACTGAGGAGTCTGAAGAAGAGTTGGAGGAAGAAGAGGGTGGATTGGAAGATCTGGGCGAATATGAATCATCTTCGAGCGGTGATGGTCATCGACATGGCAAGGGTAGAAGAAAGAAAAGCAAAGGTCGTAAGCATAAGGGTGGAGATGGCAGCGGCGGGAAGGGAAAGAAGAAAGGCGGCAAGGGCAAGGGGAAGAAAGGTAAAGGTAAGGCAAAAGGCGAAAAGACAGATAAACTTAAGAAGGATAAAAAAAAGCGTAAGGAGAAGGGTGATAAATCTGAAAAAGGCAAGAAAGGCAAGAAGGACAAGAAGGACAAAGATAAAGAAAACAAAGACAAGAAGAAAAAGGATATGAAAGAAAAGAATGATTCAGATAAGAGAAAGTCCGAAAAGGATAAAGACAAAGATAAACATAAAACTGATAAAGAAAAGTCGGACAAGGAAAAGGCTGAACAAGACCGAAAAGATAAGGAGAAGGCGGATAAAGATAAAGCGGATAAAGATAAAGCCGATAAGGATAAAGATAAGGACAAGGATAAAGACAAAGACAAAGATAAGGACAAAGATAAGGACAAGGATAAGGACAAAGACAAACGCACTGAGAGTGAAGTGAAGCGTGGTGACTCAACAAGAAAGGGTGATGAAGATGCGCGTAAGCAAGGTGATGGCAGTCGTGTCGGTGGAGATCAGGATAGTCGTTATGCTCGGGATGCACGAGACGGACGAGATGGACAAGATGGACAGGACGACCGTAGTAGTCGCGAGGCTCGTGATGTTCGTAGAAAACATGGTGACGATGATCGTTCGACTTATGGTCGCACCGATTCAAGTTGTGGGGACGATCGCAGATATGGAGATGATTACCCAGCACTCACGTGTAAACCCAACAGTTATCCAGGCTATTCATGCGTGGCTTACGATATGGCAGTTGTCGGCTCTGAGAGCGGAACTTATGAGAGTATCTGTAAACTTTTGCGCGCCGGCTTTAAATGCGCCGATCGTATACTCACAATGACACCATGGGGTAATTATGTAGTATTTCGTGGACGCGCTTGTTATGACAAAATCTATTTCCTGTTCGATGGTTGTACATGTAATGTGAATCGTTTCCGCCATTTAGATCTAAACTGTGGTACAGCTGGTTTGATATGCTTTGAGAATATGCACGATATTATTTGCTACATACTCGACTCTCAGAAGATACGCAGTAATCTGAAGAAGAGTCGAAAGAAATTGGTTGACGAAATTTGCCGGCAGTATTGCTGATTAAAAAATTCTAAAATATAGTAATTTACGAGAACCTGAACAAAAACATAACAAAAAATAACGGAAAATAAAAAAAACTATTAACTCTACAAGTTTTACGATAAAATATGTGTATATTTGTTTACTTTTCTATAAATGAAAATGTTTTGTATTAAAGAAAAAAAAGAAAATAGCTGACTGAAAATCAGTAAGAAAAAATGGTGTTTGTTTTGAGAGTCTGTATTTAATACTTGGGTCAGATATATAGAAAGACACTTGAGCATTCTATAAAGGTTCCGACTGTATATTTCTCTTCACCGCGCATTCTATTCTTAAATCTTATTAAAGATTGTCCAGAAGGATATGAAGTCTAATGGTTTGAAGTTTATCATCAAAGTATTGCATCTTAGACTAAGAACAGCAGATAAATAATACAGTCGCTAAGAGATGAGGTTAAAAGTTCCTAAAACTCAACAACTTTTTGAGAAATTGTAAGATGTACGTCTTTCGATACTTTTCACTTCTTTGTTTCTCATTGTACAGCAAGCGTGCAGACTCGATATATATATATTGACTAACCCGATAATAGAAATAAGCCCAGAAAGGTTTTTAAGTTTGCACAATGGTTGGTAAACCGTTGACAAATTCCTTTATGATCGATATATGCCTCCAATGGAGTATTCCGATTTTCTACACCCTTCATAAAGATCTTTGCCGATGTAACATTTAGTTCTTTCAACGGTTTTCTTTTGAAGGGAATTCGAGAAAGTTCAATAGCAACAAAATTATCATGTGGCGAGACGATAGATAGCCAAAATATTAGCTAAAGAACATTTTGTGGGACTACAAGAGATCTTGAAAGTATTTATTACCCTTCTAATGCTAAGACGAAGGGTTTCGAGTATAATTTTCTTCATATTTGTAGAGATTTGTAGAAAATACCATGTGATTAGCATAATTAGTCCATATTTGTATATTTTTCTTGATTATTAGGCCGTTTGTCCCAATCACCAGCAGGATTCGGCTCTTTTTATAACTCGTCGGCTCTTGATATGTAGAATTAGCTCCATCAGAAAGATTGACACCGTCTTGCAAGGTCAAATTCTATACTTCTGTTGCCGCCAATATAGATTCAGACAATGTCGTCCGCATCCCCAGTACTTTCTTCTCGTCGTCTAGCGAGAAACCTTCTTCAAGAGCGTCTATAAAGACCGATCATGGGAGCATATTAGCTGATTTACTGACTAAGGGAGAGACGGAGCTTCGGATACAATTTTAATCAGATTACTTCTGGTTCAAATAATGTGTTTGCTGAGCTTGCTGTACCTAAAATTGAGAATGATATTTTTTTGAGTAACTCCATAGTACACGATTGAAGTGTACCAGATTACCGCCTGTTTTCCAATTAAAAATCGGATTTTCCTACTGCAAAGTACTATCACTTTCGGATTTCGAAAGAGGCAAATTTGAAACCACCTACCAACGGCAAATAGCTTTTCAGAGAAAGATTTATTTTTAACTCAAAATACTCGTTGGATTATAAATGTCTGCCTAAGAGAGGCCACTTTTAGAAAAACTTTTAGATGCGATTTCGAAAACCGAAATCGAAATCGGGTACTACTGGCCTAGAGATACACCTATAACACAAATTATGGATAAAACTACTCTAAAATTATATTTTCGATGAACTCTTAGAGGTTTAATTTTTATTTCATAATATTTGTTTAAATACAAGTAAGTATTTATGCTCATACATATAAGTATATAGTACAATATATGTATAGTTTTGTATATATTTATGTGTGTATGTATATACGTGTTATATGTATGTGTGTGTTTGTATGTATGTATGTATACATAATTACCGTAAGTGAATACTTATATATGTACTTATGTATATGTAATAGGCTTTTATTTATTTTACATATGCACATAAATATGAATGTATGTATATGAGTATCTACTGTATGTATATATCTATGTTTTGTTTGTATGTATGAATTTATGCTCGTTGTAAACTACTAAAAAATATGTCCTTAAAAATAGCTAAACAGGCTTTTTTCCGTTTTTGCACAAATTCAATAGAAAATTACACATTTCATAGCACTTTCTGTGTGAGTTTTGTATTTGTTTTCAATTTTTTAATTTTTGTTCTCATCTTTTCAAGTTCCGTTTGTGTACTTTTGATTTTGCAACATAAATTTACATTTTTGTGTTTAAGGCACTGAAGCAAAAATTCGTGCAAAATTTCATTGCAACTTCAAAAGTGATGTACAACTTACTAAAAATATATATACACACATATTTATTTATATGTGTAAGTGTTTTTTTCGTTTTTTATTTTTATTACTAAAGATAATTTAGCAAATAATTTTCCCCTTGGCATTTTCATATATAATAGATAGACATACATAACTATTTCCAATAAAAAATCATTCATTTACTCATAGCAAAATTTTTCTTGTTTAATCAACTTCGCGTTTCATTCTAAACTAGCTTACACACTCTAGTTCTGGTTAGATATCTACTCACGGTTGTCTTTAAACGCTTGGAGACTTTTCTCAAATTGCGGTAAGTTGTACAATACATTTGTAACTGTTTTAGTTATTAGTATTTTCGCAAATGCAAAGTATATGTTTTTTTAAGCCAAATTTGCAGCAAAACTTTGAAAATGGCACGATATTAAATAATAAAGAAATATTAAAAGTTTAATTCCAAAAACTGTCAATATACACAATTTTTTTAATAAGGCTCTCAAAACACTTGTTTAGGGAAATATGAACTTATTATAGTTGTTCAGATCCGTTTTCTTGAAGCCACAGATGTACTAAATGTTGAATCTAATGGCGTGATACGAAGATCTATGTGGTAAGTTATTCTCTCTATCAACAGAAACAGTCTATGTCAGTACCATCATTTCTGCCGACTCCTTTCTGTGCTCTAACAAGGTTTAAAGACCGAGACAAATTAGATATAGAAAGAGGCCAACACCTATTTGTTAGATAATTGATCGCGTTTTTCCTGTGAGTCTAGATGTTGCTCAAGATATAGTTTTTAACCGCTTTTAAACGCTGTCAACCCAGTTCAAAAGAGAAACGAAACATAATTTTCGTATTTTTCTTTTTTTTTTTTGGATTTGGGAGAGGTTTTTTAAGCAGTTTTTAAACTTTTTAGCATTTTTATCGTAAGTTTCGAATAATCATAGAGAGCCGTGAACTAACGAAAGATGTTCGCTAGACTACTGGGTTTGATGAGTTTTAAAAATATAACACTGTCGACAAAGAGCAGATTTTCCATCGAAGTCCTCTGAACTATTGTTTCCTTTTGAGTTACCCTCTTTTCCTTTTGGGAGCAGTTATTTTATTTGAAAACAATAATTCTCAATCGTTTGAAAATCTTGTTTTGAATAAAGCATATTAATCCTGCTTCTAAAACACCACACTATACAATTTATATATTCACTTCCTAAGCCCTGAGTACTTACAACTATTACATAAATGCTTAAAATACGCCTAAAATAAAGAAAATATTAACAAAATTGTTGTTGACTTTAAAGCAACGGCACAAATTACAATACGACGCAGTTATAATTCTAGAAAACAATACAAGTATGTCAAATAAGGAAGAATGAGTGTGAAAACAATAATTTCTCTACTTAAAACACTTAAGTAATTATGTGTGCACTTAACTTTATACAAACATATATACTTATAAGTATACATTTCTAAGTACAACATTTATATTCATTTTGAAGTTTTTTCATTATATTATATACCAAAATTGCAGAATAGTTAAGAAATAAAGGCTTGTCTTATATATTTATGAATATCTATATAAACATATATACATATGTACATATTTATAGACCACATTAGTGCCGTTAGATAAGTCAGACAGTTTTTGAGCTAATAATTGTGGACCAAATGTATTTCACCTTTAAACTCGTTTCATTGCTATTAATGTATATAGAGTTCTAAAAGCTTTAATCCTCCTCCGAACGGCGACCGTGTATATTAGTAGTATTGGTCGAAACCCGTACCAGAACCCAGCAGCCGCACAATACATTTACTGTAGCGATTTTTCAACATTTTTCTCTTTCAAGTACGAAAATAAAAATCTAGAAATGACTGCACTGAAGAAAATAATTTCTGAATCTGAAGCTTATGTGGAGTGCTCCAAATACTATGGGCTACAAACAGTTTGTCACCTCAACAATATTTCACAGAAGTACTTTTAATTATTTCACAAAAACAATAATAAATATTAAAAAAAAAAAAAATTAAGAGAAGAGGGATGTCCATCATAAGTTCACTAAGTCTCTTCTTCACCTTTGAAAGCAAGAAAGACACCCGGGGAATGCAATTTAAGAATCTGAGGAACGTTAAGTCGTGTCTATATATGTAAAGTTCTTCATTTATGTATGATGAATGATTGTCAGCTGACCAGGTTTGTCTTTTAATGCACAACAACAATTATTTTACGCTAAAATATTACAGCGATACTATTTTATTCTGAAATGACATTGAAATAATTGTTTTAATGTAAGTTGCCTACCTTTTGGCTCAATCATATAAATTTATCAACCGTTATAGCATTACTAGTAAAAATGTTTGTACAGCCAGTTTTAACCTAAGTATTTTTTACTTAAAAAAAATGTTGCCCGCATTTAGAATTATCCTCTAAGTTCCCCCAAAAAGTGAAAAAGAAATAATATAAAATTCTCCAAGATTCACCAAATTATATGTTAAGTATACAAGTATTGCCCTGCTGGATGGATTGTGATTATAATTCGTGGATTTTGAAAGATAAATATAAATTTCAGATTTTGTGCAGATATTTCTTAGTTAGAAGGTCGAACATATTTGGCAAACAGTTGGGTGTGCCAAATTTACTTGGTTTTTCTCTCATATAACAGTATTTTTTAAATACGTGCAAAGTGTAATAATAGGTTCCGTCAATGAAATTACATAGCTAATATAGATCTTATATGAGAGAAAGAGAAACGGATTTCATTGGATTGGATTAAACTTATGATGAATCTAACAACTGACATAGAAATGGAGGTCAGTAACTTTTTTATATTTGATATGTACATATGTATACAAATGTATAAATATATTGAATGAATAAAACTAAATTATTTATGTGTATTTATTATTTTCTGAACTAAATTCAACAATATATTACTTACTACAAACAATAGCCAAACAAAAACTATTCTATTACTATATTTAAAATAAATTTATGAAATGTGTATGTATGTAGTTATGTATTTAAATTACATGAACACATAAAACAACTTAACTTAAATAAAATAATGGGTCGCACACATACATAAAATAATATGTATTTATATTAACACATCTGTACATATATATGATATATCTGTATACATATGTATCTATAAGTATGTATTCGTGGAATAGCAGGCACGGGCAAGCAATATCATCGCTTCCATTACAAAACTAAGTACATTTGTCATCAAATACAATTTAATGATTGAACTTTATACACAAAAAGCTTAAAGTAATTATACGAGTATATGGATAGTTTACATAAATTTATATTGATGTTTTTCTTTTAAACTATTCATTTCTTTTTTCAATTTTATATCTTTATAATTTAAATTAAATATTTATTTTTTAAGGTATGTAAATACATATCGAGCGCTCAACAAGTAATTTGGGGTCTTTATAAATGGCGAAACTCGAGATAAGTTTATAAGAATTTAAGAACATACATATGTATGTATATTTGGAATTGGAATAATTGTTGCATGAATGGTTGCACAAATCTCGTAATATATAAAGTTTATTTAACAAATAGAAAGTTTTAAAGTTTAATACAAGTTTGTACTGAATGAAAACTTAAAGAATTACATTTTTACGCATACTTTCACATATGTATAGTATATATATAAGTTATAGATGCATATTTGTAATCGACGTTAAAATTATTAGTTTTAAAATTATTTGCTCTTTAAAAAAGACGCACTTCACCGCATGTCTTCAATTTCGTATAACAATCCACCAAACTTGTCATTTTATTCATTCACCTTATAATTCTTGTAGACTACGCTTTACGAGTATAGCCTAAATGTAAGCAATCTTGCAATGCAATTTTTTTATTTCTTTACGACCAAAGTATTTTAATCTTCACTGAAATTACAATATATTGGAACGGATATTTAATAAATAATAAGAAATATTTACTATATTTAGGCGCATAACTAGATCATAAAAAATTTACCAAATTTTATTCGTGTAAAAATCGTGATCAGATAGTTTTATCCTGAGTACTTTTTAAATAACGCGAATTCTTTGCCTACATTTAGGATTAAAATCAAAGAGATCCATAAATATAGAACAAATATTAAATTATTTATCTAGACATAGTACTATGAATTCTCATTAATATTGGAGGATTTTTTTATCAAATGCATTTCAAAGAAAACCAACTTTTAGAGTGGTTTGCATATTCGTAGCACACATAAATTGCAAAATTTTATATATATTTTGTAGTTTGCAGCTTGAATATTCTTACTTAAAAGACAACTCATATGGAAGAGGAAAATATGAAATCGTTTTGAATAAAGATCGCCATTAGTAACCGTTTGGCAATCTCCTTATAGAGATTTACTGGATATGCTACAATTGCATGAAGCTATCTTGGAGAAATGCAGAATATAAATATCAAAAATACCACAACATTCTTTAAAAACATTTTTTTTAGCTTTCATCTCTGCGTTCGGCGTTACGCCAAATATTTCTTATTCCAAGTAAGCTATCTAAAGCTTGAAAGTAATGTTATTTCTATTAATGATATTCATGAGAAGAATGATCGAAAAATCGATTGTCATTATTTCTCTGTTTTTTGTTATGCTTTTCTAGCTGAAAATGGGTTAAATATGATTTTGTACCTTTTTATAAATTTTTTCAAAAATCCAAAAAATAAACACACGTCCAGCGGATGATCATTTGTTTGCATCACTTTTTTCATATTATATTTAAAACAACTTTTTATCATCACAAAAAAAAAAACAAATGCTCATCAGCTAACCATTTAATTTTTCACTTCCCGGAAATTTGCTGATGTGATTTGTTGATTACTCGGAAAGTATGTTAAAATATGGCAGACACAATATTTGAGATTATTTTATGATTGTACTGCTCTATTAAACAATACTTGTAGATTACAATTTGAATTTCCAGTTATTTAAAGTTTGATTTTCTTGATCCTGGTTTAATAAGTACGTAGAAGTATGACAAATTAATACAAATGATGTAAATTACACATTAATATCTTGAATGTTTTTGTTTTAGTGGAATGAAGTTTTAACGGAGCTTTATAACAATTTATTATTGAATATGATAGCATTGTTTAAATTTAAAAATTCTAAAATAATAGTAGGCATCTATTACTTTGAAGAAAGGTCGAAAATGTTTCGTCTAAACAAATCGTAAACAGTCGATCGAATGAGATTGGCAACCATGCCTTTCCGGCAAATTCAACATGCGATTACTTTAGAATATTAATGAAATACAAGTAGGTATTTGAAAATACATATGTACATGTATATAGCATATATATATATATATATATGTATTTAAATAATGCGCACATACAATTTACTCGCTTATCGTGCAAACTAAATATTTTATAATAAACACTTAGTTACAATGTAATGAGTACTTAATTTAATGTAATCCTTTGTAAATATATGTAATTATGTAAGTAATTATACATATTATGACTAATTACTAAGTATGACAAGATGTCTGACTTGTTTGTTGTACACTTATCGTAACGGTTACTTAATAAACTGGTAGTTGTAATATTAAAGACAGGACATTAAAGTTTTTTTTCTGAGATACATGTGTATGTATTTGAACTAAAGCGAAATTGTTTTGCGTTCATAATTTGCTTTCCATTTCCTATAATATTTTTTTTTATTGTTTTTTATATTTTACTTTTTATGCGTTTAATGGAACTATAGGCTCATATAACATATAAGTAAATACATTTGTTATGTTCCTGAGCCTTTTTAGTACTTGTTTTATTGGTAGGCGTTCACAAGCTTAGACCATATCCACTGCGCCGTCCGCTTCGTAAGTGGGTATGGAGATGACATCGCTGCGTCTGGGCAAATTGGACAGGCCGACATTGCTTGACTCGGCAACAGGTATATTTATTGCTCTTGTTGTTGTTGCATATGTTTGTTGCATATGTTGTGCTTGCTGTTGTCGTTGTTCGCGTCTTTGTCGTTGTGTTGCTGTTGTTGCCGCTGATGTTGTTGTTGTAGTTGGTCTACGCTCATGCTGCGTTTCGAGATCGTCAGCATCTTCACTACTGCTACTCGACGAGACATCCTCCTCGGTGTCTGTAGTGGCGGTCGCAGCGTTCACCGCCTTCTTGTTCGCCTTCATTTGTTTGAGTACTTCATCAGGATTACTTTCGAGCGTCGAATGTTGACTGGACGGTGAGTGACTATACTCGGAGGTGTTCTCTTCATCCGACACGACGGTAACATTGCGTTTGTGTATGGGAATTTTCGGTATTATTGGTATTTTGTAACCACGGCGCGCACGCATGCCGCGTCCAATCGGTAGACGTCCAATACTGAGTAAGTAGATAGAAATTAATTTAAGTAAACTAGTTGATTATTGAATCACGAAATGAAACCGAACAAGAATAATAGTATTTGCGGTTTTTGGTGAAAGAGCCTCTCTGCCGAGGCCAAGTAGGCAACATAGTGAAGGGTCTTTCTTATGTATGAAACTTCCACCACAAATCTTCCATTGTAGCAGACGTCGATTTGATAACCTCGACTAAACGTATTCTCGAATTTCGAGAATCCTTTGACTTTTTTCAGACCGTAAAGCTTTGAACCAAATTGATCCCCTTATGATTAAGAATATTATTCTAATATTTTCTTAAAATGGCTAAAATCATTTTGTTGAATAGCATTTCCTGTCTCTGTACGAATCTTAAAAATCTGAAAACCCCTTGGTAGGACTAAAAATTATTGAGAGAACGAGTGACCAAAGCTCGTATGTATGTTAGACCAGAAGAGACCGGTCCGGAGCGTACTCATATTATGATATGATCAATCTCCCAACGAACGAAAGAGAGCTGTGAAAAATCGTGCAGAAGATGAAGATTCAGTACTCGACAGAGATGAAAGTATTTTCAAATAGTAATTTGGTAAGTCTCTGGGTTGACCGCCCAATTTACTATAATATCGATCTCACAACTACCCTGAAATCGGTCTTCGTAATATTACACAAAATATCGTTTCGATCTAATTAAATAGATGTTTGAAGAACATCGTAAATCATGAATTTATAGCGTTGAAAAGAAAGCTATAAAATGAAAGTTATGGTAATAGGCTTGGTCGTTCTTAGTCTACTATTAACTAGAATATATCGAACCAGATTCCTGATTGTATACTGGTCGAAAGTTTTAGCTTAACCCTCCGTTTAAGATGTATGCGATAAACAACAGTTTTATTTTACTTTTTGGTTCACTTACCTTCGTCGTCTAAGTCCATAATGGTAGTCGGTATCCTCACCCTCCTCATCCGACCAACTGTCATCGAATATGTCTTCATTGGATTCACCATTGGCATTATTGCACGCCGGCTCCTCCACAGCCGAGGGCTTGTCTAATGTGTGCTGGTATTTTCGTCGCACACTACTCGCTCTTGGCGTCATTCGTTCCAATGCAGCATCACGATTTAAATCGTGTCTGCTTGTGCTATTGCCATCGTTCGCATTCTCATTACCATTATCAGACGCTTGCAGACGAGCTGTCGCCAACTCACCTTGATTACTGATTGATGTTGTAGTCTGTATGCTCAGCCGATTTTCGTTGATAAACTTGATCACTTTTTCACCAAGACGATCGAGGTGCTCATTAGAACTACAGTAATCCGGTAAGTCAAGTCTTTCGTTGCTATTGATCACATCGTCGAGCAATTGGTCGGGACTAGAGCATGCATCTTGAAATGTCACATCCAACGGTGTTACGGAATTGCCATTCAGACTGGTTGGTGTAAGCGCTGCTGCCGTTGCATCTGTCTGCTGTTGTTGGTCATTTAGCTGATGTAATGGTTGTTGGGTACATTGCATAGCGGTCTGTGGTTGAGCCGATTGACGCTGCTTTATGCGATCTGTTGCATATAAAACTTCATAGGATGGCAAACCTGACTCAATGGCAAGTGTCATAGAGATATCGCGCATTGCACAGCAGGCGTTTGGACTTATATCCATTTCACTAATATCCATGGCATCGGTTTGAGTTTCAGTATCAACCAATTTGACATTCTTGCGATTTTCCGGTTCGCTTTGATATCGTCGGTCTCGACTTGGACTATATTTGGGTGCTGCGGCAAAACTACCCGAACCAACCCGCCGATGTCTGCTCTTCTTCGGCTTCTGCGTGGCCACACAGTAGGACTTTGTCTTATTCAAACTTATAACCTGTGCGTAGAGTGTTGCCTTCAGTGGACTCTGTAAATGAGTTTACACGCAAATGAATATATATATAAAGGGATATCGAAATGGTGAAAATGTTGATGCAGTGAAAATAAGTTAGCATTAAGTTTGAACACATGAAATGTTGCGACCATGAACGCACGTTAAAGGTTAGTAAATAATAATTAGCGCTTAACCTATCCTAAAAGAGAACATATCTCAGTCTTACTCTAAATAACTACAATTATGATTTCATACAAGTTAACTGTATTAAGTGAAAGCTACGTAATTTACCTCAGGCGTTGTTTCCGGATCAGGGGACGACGACTGTTGTTGTTTTTGAGCATTTCCTGGTATATTAATAGGTGGATTAAGTCGTCTACGATAATTTTGTATTTTTCGTAGCGTGCTGCCCAAGCGTCTCGAGGGCTTGTAGCCTGGCAGTTGCTTTTCGCGCCTAAAAGAGAAAAACATATAAGAGTTCCAGTTAATATTTCTCATAAAGTAAAGCTGTAAAACTTACATAGCAATCTCCTTTTCTTTTTCTTGTAATTGTGTCATGCATTCACTTAATTCTAAATACAGTCGATTTGTCTTCTCCAACTTATCCTCATAGACCAGCCGAATGTCCTGCGCATGCTGCCACTCGGCCGTGCGCCGTCTGATTAAATCCTGTTCATATTTATGTATGCTGGTGCCATTTTGTGAGATTTCTTTGAAATGCATACGCACTTCCTCATTCCAGGATTGCTGTGCTTCGAAGTACCCGTTGTCGGTTTTGCGTAAAAGCTCCGGACCGGCTATCTCCAAATGCGTTAATATTTGTCCGAACGAGGGACGATTTCGCGGTTTAGTATGCCAACATAAATTCACTAATAATTTGAAACCCTCTGGGCAACTGGACGGTATCGGTAGTTTCAATGAGTTATTGCCCACACCCCAAATTATGGCTGACGAGTCGACATCTTTGTAGGGTATTTCGCATGTTAACATCTCCCACAGCACAACGCCATACGACCAGATGTCGACCTTCTCCGAGCACGGCTCGTTACGTATCACCTCTGGTGCCATCCAAGCTACGGTGCCGGCAAAGCTCATTTTCGTGCTTTTCTCATTCCATTCTTTGCTTGTACCAAAATCACTGATCTTCACTATCTCCTGATGGCCAATCAGTATACTGCAGATAGAAATGAAGAAACTTAGTAAAGTCTAACAGATATTTTTAGAAACACTTATACGCACTTGGGACTCTTCAAATCACGATGTATGATTTTATGTGAGTGCAGATATTGCATGCCATGTGCAATTTGTTTCGACCACGAGACTAAACGTGATGGCAACATCACTTTCTTATTCCGCTGATCCTTCAGTATATTTTGTAGTGGACCATAGGGACAAAACTCCATGATTATACAAAATACAGGCGGTTGTGTGCAAACACCTCTGTAAAAAGATGACATCATATTATTAAAGAAACTAGCAAATAGAAATGAAAATAATTCCAATTACTCACTTGAACTTAATAATATTTTGGTGATCCAACTTTCTTAAATGCTTAATATCTGTTTCTTTCAGTTCTTTCACCTTCTTCACCGCAACAATTTCGTTGTTCAACTTTCCACTGAAGACCGCCCCTTGCGCGCCGCTGCCAAGCCACTCCAATCCTGTTATGCATTCAAAAGGTATTTCCCAAGCATAATCTTTCGGATCCTTAATCTCGATAACGCCAGTCTTGGTCATAAAGGAGAGTATCGGTTTCATACAACCAAGCAGGCTTGTCATCACACCGATTCCCTTATCATGGTATCCATTTGTGGGGGTCCATCGATGTTGACAGGTGTTGTCCGAACTGTCTGTGCCGTTATTTTGCGGCTGTGGTCGATGAAAGTCGATGTCTGTTGTGTAAGAAAGATTCGCGCCACCTATTCTCATATGTTCCAGTCCATCTTGAATGCAGGCCATGCTGAAAATATAAATATTTAAGAGTAAGAGTTTAGTATTTGGATTAACGGTAATATTAAAAATTTGGGAATAACATTATTTACTACTATGATGATGGTTACAACTGTTTGACGAAAGGGTGCTTAACAATGCATCGTTCATCACTTGATCGTCCTTAGACCCTAGAAAATAAAAAGTAATAAAGAATGTACGGGTACGAAACAGAAACTTTACGGGTTTTTCATAAAGTAAAGCCATTTCGATAAGGGTTGGCCAAACAATTTAACTCCGGAGCCTAATGACACAACATCAATAAAAATTACAACAGCATGGTTCTCAGAAAGAAAACAATACTTCGACTCAAAACTAATAACTATTGACTTAATAACAAAGTTGTTGCCAGACAAATGGAGCCAACTGATGTTTTTGGGTGCCAAACAGAGTAAAGTGATTTGTGTGTTGTATAAAGCGTTAACCGATCTCTTACAATCAAATTCGTTAATAGAGCTCATATTTTGATATTATCACCATACATAATAGGTAAATAAAAGAACCACTCTAATTGTGCTTACTGAATAGGAAGTAATTAAAAAGTATTCACGCCTCATTGGGAAAACCAAGCAACATAGATTTGTCTAAATACTGTATTTCCGGGAAAATCAGGATTTAGTAAACTTGATTTATGGAAACAGATAACAACAAAATGTGATATTATCTCTAATGAACTCTTACATTAGGATAAACAAAAATTCAGTCAACTAATTTAATTGGAACTCCGATGGCTTAATATTTAAGGTGTCACAATAGTGATGACTTTTTCATTATAAAGCCGCTTATCTATACTCGTATATATCGGTTAAATTAAAGAAATCTTATGAATTCCTACCTACCTACTCCCTAAAATATATTTTGTTTAATAACCAGAACTTCAAAAGTCAAGCGAACTAATAAAATTGAGAGAATTTGTATGAGGGGGCTAATGGAGGATGTTTTCTTTCAGTTTTCGGTAGCATGCACTACGACAATTAAATTTCCTTAAAATGTTCTCAACAGACGCGATTTTGGAAAAATGTTAAGCCGATTTTGCAACACGATGCCGAGAATTGTCATGATGGAAAAATCGGCAATCGCTTGCTTTAATTGGCAGAGTTGTCGTCGGTACCGTTCTCCATTAATGCTTTCACCCGCTTTTAGAAGCTAATAATACAGCACGCTCTTCTCTCCCACCATATACAGAGCATTATATTGGCGTCATCGCTGGTTGGCCAGGTATCACATATGATTTTTTGTGTTTAGGGTTGTTATAATTGATCAATCTGCTATATTTTCATCATCAGTCAGAAATCAATACAAACACAACGATGCATTTGTGACATGCAAAAACGTCTTTCAAATGCTCTTGGTTTTAATTCATACGGACCCAATTTAAATAGTTGCTTCCGTGACTCTTAAAGATTTTACAAGCTCTTCTTGTATTTTACAACAATTTTCATTGAGGAACTTCTCATCTCCTAACTTTTTTGGCTGTTCAGAACGTTTTTCGTCTTCCAAATCAAATCACCAAATTTAAATCGTGCAAACGTTAAAGTTAGAGCGTGTTCACCATAAACATCCGCCAAAATAAAATTTTTCATGTTAATGTAATGAAGAAGAACTCCTTGCAAAAACACTTTTTCAGGCACAAAATTCGACTTATTTGAGTGAAAAAAAGTATTGTTATTTACACTTGAAATTAATGACATATACTAAAAAAGACACACAAGGACAGTAGCTTTCCAACGCATGTTCGGAATATTGGAAAAAATTGAGTAATAATAAAGTTACGCCATCTCATGGCAAACCGTACAAATATTATATAAGAATACAAATTATTTGTATGATTTATATCGGCACAACAATAACAACACGGGTAGTCTTGGTATACCACATGTTTGAGATCTAAATACTCACTTATTGCATGCCTTTTACAAGTCATCTAACAACTCTTTTTATGTAGTTTAACGAAAACAAGATTCTCCGAGTAACTATTAGATGACCTTGGGATCAAAACAAAAACAAAAACTCACTGCTATATAAGGCTAGTGGTTGAAACCCCATTCTCCCATCTACCGCGAGTTGATATCTTTAAAAACTACAAATCAAGTTATACGAGTATTTCAATGAAATATATGTAACCTCTAAAAATCTACACCCCAACTACTTGAAATGAACAGGGATATTGTAATATTAAATGTCATATTTACGTAAGTTATAACGTGCTGAAAAACTTCCTTATTAGTTTGACGCTAACTTTATATATATATATTTTTTTTTTTTAAATCACGTTTTGCTTTGCTTGACTTATTGAACCTACGTGGAAAAAAATAATATCGAACGGAAGATCGAATAAATACTTGGCACCGACTTTTTGTTTGCAGGTATTTCATTTTTTTTAGTTAATAAATTGGCACGTTTCTAATTAACAATAAGGTAGTACGGCTTCACAATACCTGAATATTGAAATATACAGCAATAGCGTATTATACTTGCAGACCCACGTTCAAATAAAAATACATTAGCGTGCCAGGCAATAAAATAAAAAATACTCATTTTAACAAAGCTTAGGATCCGGAGAGCCTCCTATTAGTCGTGTGAAATAACAACAACATCGCACTGGAACATTTCGAGAAGCTGGGCCCAGCCTAGTCATAGTGATATAAAAGTAAATTTTAATAGAATAACGTTATATATTAACCTTTCACACTTACAGTATGTACATATGTTTTTAAGTCATAAATGGTATCACACCTTATCTCAAGAGAAGAGATTCTTGCAAATTAATGGGGTGAGCAACTAGTTTGGAATTTTATCATCAAAACAAATAATAGTTGATAAATGCCGCCTTGCCATCGGAGTGGATTGTCACAGTCCTAAATGAAGCTTCGCTTCGAAGCAATAGATCTACTGCTATCTTAATGGCAACCACCTATGCATGAAAAATCTACAAGCCTGAAACTATAGCTGATGGTCAGTTCACCGTAACAGATTCCTGCACCAACTTTACCACTCGTCTCCTCTCCCCCTGCGGCTCCTTCCCACCCTCGAAGCTATGGGCGCAGAGAAAACACCGTCAGAGTTAAGCTTGGTGACGTTGTGATCTAAGTTATCCGAAATGAAGTCAAAGGGTGCGAGGATTTCGTTGATGAGTATTCTGCTGCTTCTCGCTTTAAAGTTTCTTACGCATCTATTAAATGATGATTATATTTACATACTTATATATTATAAGGTGTTTTTAGAAGTATAAAACATTTCAAATAAACCATAGAAAGTTTAATAAAATTATCCATTGCTTTATTATTTCGAAAATCCATTGAGTACTTTATTACGATTAGGTGCATATTGGTACCACGACTGAGTCTTAAGAAAATCACTCAATTCCAATTGATCAATTTTGCATGACTTTCCGGCATAACCAACTTCATCTCATTAATAAAGCGGCAAATTTGTTAGCTGAGCAGTTTTAGATGAATTATAAGCATAGAACAGTTACCCCCACAAAAAATAGTCGTACAGAGTCAAAGTACACTCCCTATGTGGTCAATTGTTTAATCGATTTCTTGATATAAAATGATCCCCTTAAGTTCGTCCTAATAGTTTTTTGTTGGAACCATTTACCACTAATATAAATATAATATTTCAGTATAAAAGTTCACAAAAACAAGAAGGAACTTTAACTTCGTTTGCACCGAAGCTATAATACCCTACACAAACGATTCCCTATAAGAACTTTGATCGGCCAGTTTGTATGGCAGCTATATGCTATAGTGACTCGATCTGAACAATTTCTTCGGAGATTGCACCGTTGCCTTGGATAATAACCTAGGCCTAGGTCCTTTTGTGTGTTATCAACATCATAGTAAACTTAATACACCCTGTTCAGGATATAAAAACATAATACCATAGCGCAATATCTGAATAAGCTCATGTACAAATATACTTATTTATAGAATACATTACTTACATACAAGTATGTGTTTAAAGTAACAGTACCAGTATTGTAAAAATCGCATATTTTTGCGATATAAAATATCTGAGCAACATAACAAGCATTTATACGGCCAAATTTATACATAACGTACTTACTTACATATGCATATGAAGCACAATAATAAAGCCCAAATAATACTTTTCATTTTATTTTACTGATAAGAAATGAATGCGCAATTTCTAAAAAAAAACTATTCAAATGGGGAAGTACCTGAACAATAATACCTAAGTGTATGTATGTGTGCAGGAATGCAAATGTGTGATATAAATAAATATAATATCATGAATTTAAAAAAAATCCCTTCCTTTCAGTGTATGTCTGTGTTGAAGCTTATCTATTTATCTCTATACTTACGTATGTACCATATATATAATATATACATAAATATTTAAGTTTTAAAGGGTGTCGTTTTAGAGGAGTCAAAGTTATAAATAATTAAAGAACGATCACAAGTTTTATGCATTTACAAGTATATTTAAGCAATAATATGAATATAGTGATAATGAGTACAGAATATAAAACTTCGAATATTTTTGCAGTTTGTAGTTTAAACGAGAAATAACGTTAACTTCGGCTGCACCGAAGCTATAATACCCTTCTCAAATACAAACAGTTACTTACAAGAACTTGATTCCGATCATTCAGTTTGTATGGGAGCCAAGTGCTATAGTGATCCGATCTGCACACTTTTTCGGAGGTTGCATTTGATTGCCGTAGACAATAACCCATGTCAAATGATTCGCGAAGATATCTCGTCAAATGAGAATCCAATCTTTCAGTTTGTATGGCAGCTATTTGCTGCTGTGGTCCGATATCGACGGTTCCGACAAATATGCAAGTTCATGGGGACAGAATGACGTGTCCAAAATGAGTATTTCAAAAATTAATGGACAGACAGACGGACATGGCTAAATCAATATTTTATAGGGTCTAAAACGTTTCCTTCTGGGTGTTACAAACTTCGTGGCAAACTTAATATACCCTGTTTAGGGTAT